CCCTGCTCTGGCACAGGCTTCCCATGGGGTGCAGTCCTTTGGGAAAACCTGCTCAAGCACAGGCTGTCCACAGGCTGCAGCTCCTTCACCCCATTCCTCTGCTCTGGCAGGGTGTCTTCCCTAGGCTGGAGTGCACATACCTGCTCCACCATGGAGTACCACCTCTTCCTCTGAGCCTGGTGTTCCCTAAATGAAGCTACTAAATGATGCTACTAAATCCTTGCCACATATACCCAATGTATGCACACATATGATCTTTTTATATTGTTTTATGCAGATTTATTTCAAAATTGCATAGCTGAACAGTGTATATGCATTGTAAGGGACTCTGGGAAACTACTGCATTTAAATTAAGCTTTTGGTACCATTTAGTCCTTGTTTTTTACTGTACAGTGTAATGCTGTGAGTGAGTGTGTTTTTCTTATGTAATTAGACAGGTATTCCTGTGAAAGTGACAGTAGAAAGCGCATGTACATCTGAAACTGAAGACACAGAAGATTTAGATGATGTTATCCATCATCCTGATTTGGCAAAATCATTAGATAAGAATAACATAACAAAGTATGAACAATTACAGGTAAGAAGCATATTCTGTACCTTAAACTCCATAAAGGTAAATTATATCAATTAAACTATGTTTTATCTGGAAAATTATGGTTAAGCTAATAACCAGTCCTGGAGCAGGACTTCTGAATAACTTCTAATTGTCCTGCTTTATGTCACACAGGCTTCTGTTTCAAAAGATGTGTGTCAAATATGCACTGGATTTTCAGTGTCTGAATAGTTCTAATCAAGACGTGTATGCTATAAGCATGTTGTCAAATCAGGGCTGTAATGAGGTAGAACTTAACTTAATACACACAACTGCAATACACATAATTTATCTGTTCCAGTCTTGAATCATGGCTCACAAACCTTTTGATCAGTGTTACTGCCTGTAGTATTTCCTTCCAAGTATTTCATTTATAAATGTAATTTAATGTTATTTCTAAGAGCTAAAATATTGTAATGATTGTTGTGTAAAAATAATTTTAAAAATAACTGAGAGTGTGTTAAAGCTCCATTTTATAACTGAGCTTGATAACCAACTTCTTTCATTTGTTTTTTATTATTCCCTCTACTTCTTTGATAGTTCTAAAAAACTAGCAGTAGTGAGACTAACTATTGCTGTAAATGTCTTGACAGAGAATGTTCTTACAAAAGGAAGGGAAAACAAAAGCATCTTTCAGTGGCGCAGTGATGCTGCTGAGGTAATCTAGCACTATTATAAAGTAACACCCTCAGGCAGAATAACTGGGTTGTTTCTCAGGTGTTAGGATTTTAATTTTGTTTGGAGAATTTGCACTGCCTCCAAATGAACACTGCTAAAAGTGAGACCTACAGTCAGTCTGGTTTTGGTGGTGGTTTTCATAGGGCACCAAACTGGGTGAACAAACTGTTCATGTGCATAAATATTAAGACCATGTATCTGTCTTTATGTAAGCAAAGTGAAGTTGAAACTTAACTTGTTGCAGATGTATATGTAATGGGAGAGTTAGGGTGGCTTAGAGTTACTGTGGAAGGCAAAAGGACTGTGCAAATACTGCATAACTACTTGCCTTTTTTTTCAGCTGATGTATACTTTTTCTTTAGGCCTACCCTTTTTCTCTCTAGAACTTTTGTTTCAGGAAGATTTTTCAAGGTTTTTCCATGTTGCTGGGACTTAAAGTTGTGTAGTGGCTTACTTCTTTGTTGGTGATTTCATATTGCTGTTTGTGTGCAGTATGTTGACGTTGTGCTAGGCAGTGGCTTCAACATTCTCATCAAGATCACTGTGTCTGGAATCATAGAATTCCATGTCACGTGCATATTGTGCCAAAAACTTTTATGCAGCAAGTATGGTGCTTTCAGGAAACAATTGATATATTCTTGGTGTTTGGAGAGGGAGGAATGTTACTTTCAGGACACACTGCAGAAGCATACAGTGTTTTGTGCTTTGAGGAAGGGTTGTCGTATCAACCTGTGTTGCCAGGGTTACCCATTGTATTATATATAGAGCAACTGTAAGGAAGAGATAATTTGTAATTAATTTGAGATTCCTAAGAGGTAAGACTAGAAATTTCATGAACTTACCCCAAAATTGGTTATGAATTTCCTGTACTTGTAAAGGTCCAGATTTTCCTGATTTTCTGAATTTGATAACCACAGTACTTTTTTTAGGCCATGGTTACATAATCAGACAGCGCTGTTTAAGCAGCCTTGAACTGTTTCTGTGCCTCACCCATCGGTCTTGTTACTTTGATACAAAGCAGTTTCACATTATGGCAGAACTGAGCTAACAACTTCTCACCTGAATTGTCAGGTCTATTTCCTCTCTGTCCCACAGTGCTTTTCCATTTCTTGTTGGATCTTTTTCTCTCTCCTGCATTTTTTCATGCTTATCTGATCATAAGGCAAGTTGATTCAACTTGCTGATGTGGAGAAAACTTATGTAGTTCAACAAGGAGAAGTGCAAAGTCCTACACCTGGGAGGAACAGCCCCTTGCACCAGTATATGCTGAGCGCAGACCATCTGGAAAGCAGCATTGCAGAAGAAGCCCTGGGAGTCTTGGGGGGCACCAAGTTAAACACAAGCCAGCAGTGTGTCCTTGTGGCAAAGGAAGTGAATGGTATCCTGGCCTTCATTAGAAGGAATGATGCCAGCAGGCTGAGGGAAGGTGGTCCTTCCCCTGTATTAAGCGCTGATGAGGCCACACCTGGAATACTGTGTCCAGTTCTGGGCTCTCCAGTACAAGAGAGACATGGGCATACTGGGCAAGGTCCAAAGAAGAGCCAGAAGCATGGTTAAGGGACTGGAACATCTCTCCTATGAGGAGAGGCTGAGATTGCTGGGACTGTTCAGCCTGGAGAAGAGAAGGCTCAGGGGGATCATATTAATGTATATCAATAACTGAAGGGAGGGTGCAAAGAAGGCAGAGCCAGGCTCTTTCCAGTGGTGCCCAGTGACAAGACAAGAGGCACTGGGCACAAACTGAAACACCCAAGGTTCCTCCTGAACATCAGGAAACACTTTTTCACTGAGAGAGTGAATGAGCACTGGCACAGGTGGCCTGGACAGGTTATGGAGCCTCTGTCCTTGGAGATAGTAAAAAAACTATCTAGACATGGTCCTGGGCAGCTTGTTGTAGATGTCCCTGGTTGAGCAGGGAGTTGTACCAGGTGACCTCCAGAGGTCCCTTCCAACCTCAACCAGTCTGTGATTCTGTGGTATTTTTCCAGGTTAGTTTTCAGCCATCTTAATGACTCACGTTGGCTTATGTGATTGGGTACATTCCAGACCTGGAGCACAGTAAGTGTCAGAACTCTGTGGCTGATAATGTGAGAGGGGAATTGGAGGACCCTTTTTATCTGCATTAATTTGTCTTAGGTACTGTCATTAAACAGCTCTTGTTGCAGAGCTGCTTGAGTGGGGAGCTGACTTGAGGAACTGATCCAGCTGAAAAGTAATCCAGTGTATCTGGCTGCAGCAGGCTTTGGTGCAGCCTTTCAGTAAAGTGGGACAATCAGCTGTGCTAGAACAATGACGGGATTGCAGAGTGGGAAGGAACAGTAAGAGGAGGAAACTCCTTAAACTGCCACTGTGCCAAAAAAGCTCTCTAGACATCACTTGCTGTGACTAAATGACCGGACTTGCACTTTAGAATGCAAGTTCTTGAGAACTTCTCCATGTCCTTCTGCTCAGAAAGGATCTTTAAGCATATTACTTAGTGAAACAAGGAGTTGTGTTTTCATTAAAAAAAAAAAAAAAATCCCCTGGCTAACAAAAAGTTTAATTTCTGCTTAAGTGAAAAATAAGAACTGATAAATGTTCTTTCCTTCCACTAGAGGGAATCTGAAACATCAGAATTGCCTCTGATGAAGAGTGTAGTTGAGGTAACTCACAGGCTGAAATTTTAACTAAGGATATAAATGGTGAACTTCACCCTTAATATAGTTAGCAGGGTGACCTTTTCTACACATTGATACTATGTGAATTATGTAGAAGTAGAGATTGCACTATAACTAAGGACAACGGTGTAATCAAGTAGAAAAAACATGGCTAATTAGTTTTTTATATTTTTAGTTTTTAAACTTCAGTTTTATACCTCTGTGTAGTGTTGAATAGTCTTATTATACACAGTAATTCTGAGGGCTACAGATATATTTGCTGTTTAGCTTCATCTTAAAGGCTGTCAGTGCTGTCTTTCTGGCTACAGTACTAGAAGGGTCAGTCATGTAGCTTGGAAGTAGGTTTAGCTCTCTGATGCATTTTAATTTTTTCTGCACAACGACTAGAGGATTGTCTAAGCTAGTGAATTTTTCAGATCAAGGAATAAAGCTTACATATACTTATAATTTAATGGTGACAAATATGTTTGCACAGGTGCAAGGCATCTTCCTTTAAATATAGGCCTCTGATACTGCTTATGAGGAGATATAGCTGCAATGTTTGTCATCTTTTTGTGAAGTCAGCTCATAACCATCAAATATTGTCTACATCTACAGTATGATAAATCAAGTTGAAACAAAACTACAAAACCTCCGAATTTCTGCCTAAAAAAAAAAATCTTGATAATTTGACTGTTTTCTTGGCCTTTGTCCTTTGAAAATCTGAACCAGCAATTTGAAGAAAAAGGTCAGTGCTGTCAGCTTTAGAATTGTCTAAAATCTGCCCGCAACAAAAATTACTATAGAACTAAGGTTTCTAAAGCAGAGTTGCTTGCCGAAAAAACCTACACCCTAGAAACTTCAAAATACATACATACATACATGCACACGCATTATAAATAGTACTGTAAGAATTCTTTGAGTCTGTGGTACCTGTGACTGATCTTCAAAGCTAGGTTACAGGATTCCAGCTTACAAGTCAAGTTGTGAATGTTGAACATGTGCTACGCTTCTGAATCTGTAAAAGGATTTATAGCTCCTATTATTTCCACACATTCTGAGGTAGGCTGCAGTAAGACTGTGGTATTTGTTGAAGGTTCTTCTTAAAGATTTCCCCCTGGCCTCATTCCTAGATGTGATTTTGTTACATCATAGCAATTAGATACTGTTAAATCTCTTCACAAATACTGTCTTTGAAATGTGGTTTTCCTATACCTTCTGACCTCTGAGACTCTTTCTTATGTATTCAAATTATAAAGATATGACTAGCTTTCTAGTTCCAGGATTAGCTTGGTTGATGCTAGTCTAGGGATCTTAGAAGTGGGCTTCACTGGACAGTAGTGACAGACCCATAATCTTCGCTCCTGAGTGGCTGTCACTGGGAAGGCTGTATCTAGAATATTTTAGAACCTGCAAAAGACCCTTACATCCTACAAGACCTGTGGGAACCTCTTTGCATTTGTAGAATGCTATTCATAAACTATGCATTCTGTTGTACACCAGTCTTCTCAGCCGATTGCTTGTGTGAATTACAGTAGTATGCTCTTCAATTAGCTTCTGATGGCAGACAAAGTATTTCAGTACTGCTTGGATCTTTGCTCCTCCGTGGAACTGATTGATAAGGTGTGTACAAAGAGCAGTGTCCTATGTTACGTATATGTGCTTGTATACAAGGTGTATGGAGAAATGAAGCTTTGTATACCATTAATTCATACAGATTACCCCCTGAAAAATAGAGCAGCTTGATAGTTTTAACAGTTTTCACCTTTGGAACCAGCAGACTGTGTTAAGGCATGCAAGAACAAAAATTCCTATTATAGGAATTTCCACTTCAGGAATTAAAGATGATAATGCTTTGCCATGATATGAGAAAACATGGTGATTGCTTATCAAATCCTGACTACTCTTCACTGAAACAGAGAGATTCACTACTTAGAACTGAAAGTTAAAATACAAGTGTAGTATCTCATGAACGAGATTAGAATATATTTGTTAGATGTTTGGGTTTGGTTTTGTTAAAACTAAGTTGCTCAAACTCACCTGGGATTGTAAAAAACTTACTTTTTCTGCTGAAGAGCCAATTGGAAAGAGTACAGATCTTACATTTTAGAATTCTGTATTCCTACTGCTATAATCAGGAATAAAATCCTGGATGAAGAATACATTCTGAAAATCTAGGTATGGCTACTAAGGATTTTTTTTTTTAAGCCCAATTTGAGCTTTTGATGAGGAAGACTTACTTAGGTAAAACTGAGGTTTGAAAAGGTGAAGGGGAAGAAGAGAAAGTAGAGGAGAATGTACATTCCTGATGGTAATGTCATATGCCCCAGCGACTTGTGCTATAATCTTGTGTTATCTATTGCTGTATTGCAAATCTGTTAAGTGAATCACACTTCCACTTTCCTGTGTTCATTTTTTGCATCCTAGAGTTATGTAGACCTTTGTGTATTTTTGTAGAAGATATGTTATTGCTTGGAATGCCGTGTGCTAGATGTTAATTGGGCGTGTTGAGTTTTTGTATAATACTGCATGCTGATCTGACATTTTGAGATAAATATCGTCATAATTTATCTGTATTATGATAGTTGGAGCTGGAAGAATGCGTGGAAAAATTAAAGGAAGAACAAAGAGCCAGAGTAAAGGCTGAGGAACGCGTAATGGAGGTAATGATACTTAACTGTTAATCATCTTTACTTTTAAAGGAGGCACCAAACTATCCACTTGCTTAATTAGGAGTAATTATCAGTGACCTCTAATGTGGTAGCTTCCAGAGTTTCAGTTCAAAGTCACATGGATCATTTACTAGCCTAAGGGCAATGATGAAATCCACATTTAGTAATGTGTGTTTGTTCTCCTCATCCTATTCCAGAGCCTTGAACTCCAGGTCAAGCTACTCTTTTCAGTATGTTTCATTCATTTGATGTATTACTCATGATCTGGGGCACCCTGATGTTTGCTTTTCTTGAGAAAGTGATTAAATCTGTTTGCAATTTGCAGCAGATGGAGGTCTCCCACCTTCTTTCTCATGACTTGTGCTGAAAAGCTGTTTGTTGCGAATCTTGTTTAATTTGGCATATTATGTCACTTTGATTTTAAAATCAAAATTACATTCTGCAAGTAATAAAAAAGTTGAATGGTTTTCTGCATAGCATGCTGGCCATAGCTGTCAGTTGTTGTGAAGCGCCATGGTGCATTATGACAGAACCCAATGAACAACTTGTCACAGTTAAATTGTGAGGTCTGTTTCTCCTCCATCCATTGTTGCTGACCTAAAAAGATCCTTCTGCGTCAATAACCAGAATTTCTTGTAATAGAGTGTAAGATAGTGTAAATGAATGGATTTGGTTCTTGGATGTGATCTGGAGTGGAGTGAATGTGGTGGTACCCTTTGGAACTTGAGCAACAAGTGATGCCTCACAGTACAGGGAGCAGATGCCCACAAAGGACTCTGAACTCTACAAGTTTCACTGTAGTCTTCTGCAGCCATCCCTCTCCTCCTGTAATGTGCAGTGTGCCAGTGGGCTCTGCTGGATATCTGTTGTTTGAATACTCAAGTGCTTTTTAGACTAAATACCCGCCACAACAAATCTTTCCTTGTCATGTGATTCTAGCACCTTGGCTCAGGAGAAGGGATAAACTAAGTAGCGGTAATCTCTAAAATTGTTCATCTTGACGCTAGTTTGACAGCTACAGTGCACAACACAGATCTGTAATTTTTTGTCCTTCTCTCCTAAAAAATGAAAGAAGGAAAGTTGGTGGTAGCAGTGATTGCATAGCTGTAATCCTAAGTGAGTGTTTGAGTTAATGTTTCCCTCAAGTACAAAACCCTGCATATCCTACAGGTATCATTCAGCTTTTAGTTTGTCACTGATTTGATTAATGTTCACTGTGAAGAAAGATCATCTTAAACTTTCAATTTTGTGATGCGCAGTACAAGGGAGAGATGTAATCGTATGCATGTTTTTTAACTAGTAAAAGAAATTCTTTGATGTTAATGTGTCATATAATACATGCAAAATAACATGATATGAAAGCTGATTTTTTTTGCTGGCACTTGCTCTGCAACATTCTGTCCATATTGAAGACAGTGCTGAACCAGCAGTTTTGTGTGCCTGCAGCAGCTTCACTATGGTAGCACAGAACTGCAGCTGTGGATAAACAAACTTGCGCAGAGCTTAGTGTAACAGTGCCCTGAATACTTCTGGTTCAGTGAGGTCTAGATCAGTTATGTCCATTACTTTGAGTATTTCTCTTGATGCTACTGCTCTCTAATAGGCTTGCAAAGGTGGGGTTGGGCGTTTTGTTGTTGGTTGTTTTGTTGTTTTGTTTTGTTGTTTGTTTTCTTTTAATTGACAATGATAGAAATTACTTTATTTTTTATTTCTTCTCTCTCTCCCACTCCCCAGCTGGAAATTGAAAATGCAAGATTAAGGAATCTAAATGCCTCCCTGTCTGAAGTTCTTCATGCTCAGTCAGTAACCAACATGATTTTGGAAGATGAAGGTGTTCTAGGCAGCATTGAGAACTCTTTCCAGAAGTTTCATGCTTTTTTAGACCTCCTTAAAGATGCTGGGTAAGTTGTCACTTTACTTGAGTCTTACTGTTTCTGCTCAGATCTCTTTCCAAAATTATCCTCCAATGAAGTATGCTCCTTTCCCAAGATCTCTAGGACTGTACTCACAAAGAGCAAAGGAAGAAAAAGGTAACTGTATGTACCTACTGTTTAGTCTTTTCTCAGTGGGAAAAACATGATCCAAGCACTGTCTGGCTGAATTAACGTATCTGTCCTTGGCAAAGACTTTCAAGAAGCCCATGCTAAAAGAGAGGAAAGCTTCTATTGAAGCATGTTTCCGAGTTTTTACCAGACCACCTGTGGCTCTTAGCATTCCCATGATACAAAAGGCTCAAAATGCAGTTGGACTGGCTTCAAAAAGTGTCCTGTTGCCTTGGGCCTCCTTTTACTAACTGAAGTAGAGAAATCTAGATGGATTAATTTGGCTTCTATACTTAAATTCTGGATTATTTATTATTACTTGAAATATTTTAGAGAGTATTGATTAAAGTTTATCTTAAGGCTTTACCACTGTACCTGCAGCTTCTTAGAGGATGGTTCATCCTTCCCATTTGTCAAAGGATTTCAGCTTACGTTCTCAAACCTGTTTTGTAAAGCTTATGTAGCCAGGCATGGCAATCTCATCCAGGAGAATGAAGGAATGATATTAAGATAATACTGTAGTGTACACTGCAAGTTCAAAGTCGACCAGGGAAGATTTTATTTGCTCTCCCTGCCTCCTGCTTCTATCCACCTACAAATTGTAATGTAAAGTTCACGCTAAGGCTGTGTTCTGATTTTGTGAAAATCAGTTGGTAGGTAGAGTTGCCATTACTTTAAGAATGAATTCCAAACTTTGGAGGAAGACAAAATTGCTCTCTCACTACAAAAAAATAACTTTTTCAGATGAGTCCTACATCTATTCATGGTAATAGGGAGCTGCTCTGAAAGTTACAGAATCCCAATCACAAAGGCTGCTCTTCTCAATAAGCTTCTGTTTAATGCTGTGCTATCAATTAATGGCTATATCTTCTCGCTTCTGTTGAGGCTTAAAACACCTAAGTGGTAGGTTTGGACAACTTGTAAGCTGGCAAGTGAAACAACATGCCTGTATTTGTGAAGCATGTAATTGGATTTGACTGTTGGAGATTATGCTGGTTTGGGAGATGTGCTCCAATCTTCTGCTTGAATGACAGAGTTTTAATCTTTGTTCTGCCTGACAGGGAATCTGTTGCCAGCCTCCTGCTCTGAGATCAGTGCTAACTGGGAGAACTTCATTTTTAGCCTCATAACATTTAGTGAAAACTGACAGTTTTGAACCTGCAGGCTAATTTGTGCAAAGACAGGAAAATAGCTTTAGCTACTTGTTTTCATCTTCATTAAGCTATTTTGTGCTTCTCAGAAAATAATGGAAAAGCTGTCATCAAAGCTTCAAACAAATTCTGTTTCTTGAATGTTTAGATTTTTCACAGGGTACGAATTTTTTGTGTCATTTTCTACTGAACTTTATTTTACAGACTTGGACAACTTGCAGTATTAGCTGGGATAGACCACTCAGATTTTGGTGTTTTGGGGCATCCACAAATGAATTCTACTCTCAGTAAGCCTGCTAACATGCTAAAGGAGAAGTCTTTTGAAGAAGAAAGACACGAACATACCCAGAATAGCAAAGTAAGTCTGTAGAGGGAATGCTAATGGCAATGTACTTGATGCTATTTAAGGTACCTTTCAGCTGTTACCCCCTCTGACTGAAAGCAGTGATTACCAAATGATCCATGAAGTTATTACTGCGATCTTTTGCTGCAGCTGTATTTATACAGATCATAATAATTCAATTATTAATGTAAGCTTTTTAAGTTATTACCATTTGGAATAGAAACCATAGTATTTTGTGATGTTCTAGAGATAGTGTAGGTTGTAATTATATTGTTTCTTGTTCTGAAATGTGAAGTTCCAAGAGTGGTATGCATCCAATGAAAATAGAAAATACCATGACGAGGTTTTTTAGAAACAATTAATAATGATGGATAGTGGTTTTTACAAAACTTAGTCTGCTAATAGAGGGTAGTACAATATGCCTATTGAAAGCAGGAATTTTCTTAAGTTGTTGCAGTATACGTGTACTGTAGTCCTGTTAGATTTCTACATGGGCCATGCCATGAATTTTAGGCAACTACAAGTTTGCAGTATTAACAACATAAGGTTTTATTTTGTACTCTGAAGCCAATAAATAGAAAACTTGGATTTTTCAAGGGAGGTAGTTTTTCAAGTTCCCTTAAAAAAAAAAAAAAAGAAAGGCTTAAGTTTTTAAGGCAGTTAAAAACAAAGATTCTGTCAGCCTACAGCCTTGTCCAAGCTGGATAAAATCGTCATGTTTTGTCATGCTAGGAATCCTTCTGCATTCCTATATGTTTCTTAAACCCAATCTCTTTCCTATTAAGTGTTCCAGATTCCTCAAGAACACCATGAGCTCCTAAAGCATTATGATAAGAAGTGCTGAGGTTTTTTAATGGTTGCAAAGCAATTTCCACTTTCGCAGTTTGAATCTGCTAAAATTATTCGGATTAATAGAGTAATTCTCATTATAGGTTCTTTGACATTTGTTATAGTTTGGCTTGCCACAGTGTTTGCAGCTGATGGACTCTTCTGCACTGTGACATTAACTTGTTATGCAGTTCTTCTGAATAATTTTTTTCTAATTCACCTACATTTAGAATCCTGAGCTTAAAGTGTTTTTTAAGTATACATGGTAAAGGATGGTTACAAAAAGCTTCAAACAACACTTACACTACTCTCATACTTATCTCATAGTATTGTTTAGTTCAGATTCTTGTAGCAGCTAGGTGTTGTGGGATAGACTACTGGCATCACACTACTGTGAGCAAATGTAATGAACTGCACCTATTTCAGAATGATAGACCTGATTAGGCTTTGGCTGCTTCATTCTAACTGACGCATTTCTGTAGGATAAAGTTCAAGCTAGATGTGAAACTGTAATATGCCTACTCTGTGTCATTATCACCCTAGTAATCTTCTGAAACTTGCTTGTTTTGAAAGGTAATAAAGGTTGTGTGATTGCTATTATCTCTGAATCTTTTCTATATTATTATGCTATGCAAATTTTAGTATATGGTAGTTGCAGTACTGGATTTTTTTTCTCTAGTTGCCTCACTGTCTTCATTGGAATCTCTTATTTCAGAACAGAGCTGGGGACACTGAAGTTTCTCTTCCTGGCACACTTCAATCCCACACAGTTGTGAATAATGCCTTCTCTGCTCTTAGAGAAATACATGAACTTCAGACTGCTGGGCAACAGTACCAGCCAGGCTCCTGGAAGGAAAATGAAGCTCAAACAATTAACCAAAATAAAGAGGATAAGCCTCGAAATAGTACTCCAACACTCTCTGAGAGGAGAGTCAAACAAAATGAACATGCAAAAGGACATCACTCAGCAAGGCAGTTGGTTGCCGGACTGCATTCGTTTTCTGATTCCAGTGTACATATTAAAAGTAACGGTAGCAGAACATCCAGTGGTACTTCTGTTGAAAAAAGCAAAAATTGTTCCTTAAAGAAATATATCCCTAGAGCAAATGAAACAGCAATTCCGAATGATGGAGCTAGAGGAGACCAAAGTAGAATGCAGACAGTAAACCGCTTTGGAACTCATAAAGTAGGATCTGTCTCTGAACTACAAGAAAGTATCGAAAGTGTTACCAGCATTTGAAATGGTTCTAAAACGTTTGAACTGTTCTTTACACTTGCAAGATTAAAAATAAATTTTTGATGCCTCAGAATAGTTTGTGAATTTTTTGTAAGGTAGTGTAGACTTTGTAAACTTTTAAAGCATTGCAAGCTGTTTAGTATTCCTGTTTCATGTTTGCATCAGTTGTCACTAGATTTTTATTTTTGGAAATGTGTGATGCCCTGGTAGAATGGTACCCTTCGGTTTGTATTACATACAAGAGATTTCTGGCATATGGATTTTATCGTGTATCACAGATCTCGTAGAGTGTAAACGTTTTTGAGCTAATAAAATTAATTTCAGTACAGATGTTGCTTTTCATTTATTTACAGTGTTCTGCAATGGAAGTGGAAAAAATGGTTTTAGGGCAAACATCAATTAATGCATAACAGTGTGTGGGTATGACATTCCCAAAGGTAGCAGAAGTTTTCAGATTTGAAAATGAGCCCAAAAATAGCTCTAAAAGAAATATTTAAATACAGCCATTCTTCCTTATTGCTATGACTGCAGCTCATCGAATAATACATGTTGGAAGGGACCTCTAGGGGATATCTAGTCCAGCTCAATTAGGTGCTCTCAGGACCCAAAGAAGTGTAAGAAAATAAAACTAAAAGAATACCTTTGTTTTAAAATTCCTGAGGTTTGCCCTCCAGCTTCTTTGTTCCTGTCCTTTCGCACAGGCAGCTCATTTGCAGCTTCTGAACTATGGCACAGAGGAACATGGATTTTGATTTGCCTAATGTGGCATAGCATCGTATTGTTTTGCACCAGGAATAATAAGATGCATTTCAGTATGGCCCTGAAAAATAAAGCAGTATCTTTATATTTGTACACTTGGCCTGAGTGCCGTGAGAAGGCAGTCAAGAGCTAAATAGAATAATTAGATACTTATTAGTTTCCTTCACTAACTACTGTTTTGTATATAAATGGGAGTTCTGTAAAAATAAACTTATTAGCAAGGGTTGTAGAGATGAGGAAGATGTTAAACATTTAAGCAAGTTTTAGGAAGAGTGTTTTTAAGCAACATGAAGTTTGGAAGGATGAAGCAACCTAAACTCTCTTAGTTTAGGGTTTAAGCCCAGGTCATTTGGTTCAACAAAGGGAGTGAGTTTTGCTTTTGAATGAACCAGTCAGTTTTATTTCCTTAAAATAACTTCCTTCTATGACTTTTCGCACATGCATGTGCCTGTATCAGTCCAGATAAAAAGAAATTTCTGAAACTGCAGTAAAGAACTCTGGGAGATCGTGTAGTAGAATCTGACGTACAGTGCTTATCTTTACGAGAAGTTAAAATGTTGAAAACTCATCACATGCAGTGGTCATGAAAAGCTGCCTTTTTAAAAAGCAGATAAAATTTAAATATTTTGCCTTTATTTTACTATTTACAGTGTTAGCTGAGATTTTGAATGATCATAATGTTTTAACCTGTTTGGTATGGACTTTTTCTTATTGGCAATGTGTATTCCATTTGCAGAGTGAAGAGGACAGAGGGTGAGGGAGCAACAGAAGATATTTTTCACATACAGGAATTAGGCAAGATGATTTGTGCTAAACTTTGGGGAAATAAATACTGCGTAGCTTTCTCTTTACTCTCCCACCTGTCATGAGAGTCCTGGAACATAGAAGATCTGTAGAAATTCCCGACTCCATTTGCTTGACAATAATGGAGAATCTCATGCATCCTCAAATGGAAATTTTCTACTGAGCAAATAGCATGAGATTACCTTAGCTATTGCAGTATTGCACAAGTAATTGCACAATGAAAGTACGTTATTTTTACAGACTTTGTCACTGCAGAATAATAGCAAGTAATATATTAATCTATGCAATTTTTTAGATATTCTTCCAAACGTTTGAGGTCTCTTGCTTCAGTCATGATTCTTTAATTGTGATTTTGGTTTGAGTGAACAGTTAGATGCAAACAGTTTCTTCAGCATTAAAATATTATGTGTTCCCTTTTTAAAACTAAAACTCTAAAGCTAATCACTGTGAAATGGTGGATAAAATTAAGTGTTTGGATTTGTGAGGTTAGGAATGATGAAACTGTTAATTGTCCCTAAAAATACCATAAAAATCTTAAAACAGTTTATGTATTGTATGTGTATAAGCAGGTGGCATAAATACATTTTGTGTTAAATACTACTAGTATTTGGTTTCAAAGTCTCAATTACATCAAAAATAATTATTTAATGCAAAATTGAGCAGGCAGTCTTACAGTGAAAATATGGAGTGCATACTTTGTATATAGCTGAATGCTGGATCTGAAGTCAGTAGAGACAATGGATGCAAGTTACCTAGGGCAGAAGTATTTTTTAAGGCTATCATGAATATTTCAGAAGCTTCAAGGTTTTTACTCACAATTTAAAAATGCATTTCAAAAAATATATTTAAGGATAAAGTATTTTAATAAAAAGTAAAAAATAAAAAAGTGTGTGTATATACATACATTTGAAATTATTATAAAACCATTTTACCCTGAGTTTGGATAGAAACTGTTTCAATCTCTTGCTATTAGTTAATGTTTAACATATTTGTCTGTGTTCTTGTTTGACATGAAAGCCTGAAATCAATAGGCCAGCTATTTGCTAGAAAACGTTACTGTTTACTTAGAAAGCATTTTTTCTCTCTTTGTTTGGGCTTCCCAAGAATTACTTTTCACACTTCATAATTGCAATATTTGGAGCTAGATCCCTGAAAAACAAAATAACCCCAAACCCTTGTCTGGACTATCTGAATCTTGTTCTAAGTCCTGCCGAAATTTGCTACTCTCACTACTTTGCTGGACCAGACGTCCCAGCTCTCTCCTGAAACAGCTGCCAGGGCGCTATGCAGCCAGCGTTATTTGTCTTTTAACGATGACGTCAGTTTGTTTGTTATTGTACCAGACGGAGAACTCGTGTGCGCTTGCTCTCCTTGAGTGAGCTGATTCTTTTCCAGCAGTAGTCGATGAAGGTTTTTCTGTCCAACGTAACATAAAGTCATGATGAACCCAATAAAAGTTCACTAAAAACTCTGGAATTTTATTTAAATATTACAAAGTCTCTGATTTTTTTGTTTTGTTTTGTTTTTCCAGCTATGTATCATAGTAAATACACCGCGCTCTGCTTTTGTGTTAATTATGCAAATTCACATTTGTCTGCGGGGATTTGTGGCACTTGAAGGGTCAGGTACTCTGTCAAAAGTTGGAAGACAGAAGCATTCCTCTAAATCATGGTTTTGAAAGCTTGTACTTTACATTGGGACACTATGAATATTGATATAATGTATTTATGTTTTTTGATGTAATAAAATATTAAATTATAATTGCTGGTAGCAAAACATTAAAATAGGAGACATCTCAGTTCAACAGAAACAAAACTCTGATGTGACCTTTACTATGGAGCCTTTTCTCCAACTGCAAAAGCATAATAATCCCTGGCATGAGGCAAAACCAGACTGTTCTGTGTTCAGGAAACTTTCTGTTTTGTACATCGTTATCCATTTTGTGTATTCCCCATCAACGCACGATGTGAAATGGATTTTCTAAAGCTCTGGGTGGCAGAGCTTCCAGTACAGTTGTCCTCTGAGCTCACGGGAGCTGCTATTCTTGACCCTTTTGATCAAGATGGCACTTTCCTGAACTGAAAAACTACAATATCTGATATTTACTCCCCGTGCTCTGAGCTGATACCAGCACCTGCTTTACCTAATTTCTATTTTTGTGTTCTAGCTCTTTATGCCAGAGGTTTGAATTACACTTTCAGTTCCAAAGTTTTAATTTACCTCGTGGTTTGTGGCATGCAGTTAGGATTCAGGAGTGATCCTGCTCGGATATTGAAGCATTTCCCTTAGTGGTGGCTAGGCTTCCTGACCTGATCCACCAACCTAAGCTATTTCTGACTGCTTCCATTACCCTTTCCAACCTAGGATATCTTTTCCCCAACAGGTCGGAGTTTGAAGCTGCCTCTCTGGGCAGATGTAGGTAGTGTGGGTTTAATATCAGGAAAAGCCCATATGAGGACCCTGAAACTTTGAACCCTGTTTCTATTTCAGACTCTAGCAAAAATAATTCAATTGTAGTCACTGAGCATTTCAGTTGAGGCTTCTATTTAATTATAACTAATTTTAATAATTAGAAGTGATGTATTCATTTTGGGTGTTGTGGTCTGAGACACAGTTTAGAAATACCTTGGTGTTTTGAAGAGAATGTATCCAGTCCATGGAGTCTGCCATTACCTCTTTAGAACTGAAAAAGGTTCTCGTGTCTGCAAGCAAATTTGGTGTGTTTTTCTTAAGCTATAGCTGTTATTGAAATGAAGGTAATTTTTGCTCTAAAACCACTGTCTCTGTTTACAATCTTTTAAACAAAATAACTTGCATAAGATGAAAATCTATTTACTAAATACCAGACCAGGCTGTAATCCGTAAATTCTTTTTATGGTTCTAGGTATGACCTAGCTTGACAGGAAAAGGAACAAATTCAAGTAGTCAGCATTTCTTCAGTGAAATAATTTGTAGTCAAAATTATCTTTTATATAAATCTGAGTATTCACAGAATAATGATCATCAACACTTCAATTTCTGAAAAAAACCCAAAGATTTAGTATGCAGATGTTTAATGCTGATGATAAACTTGGTGAACATGCAAGGGACTAAAGTAGAGCTAGCATTACGGGTAACACTGGGCAAACTAAGGCGTTCAAGAGCTGTGCTTTGTGCAGCTAGATAAGTCATTAATCTCGTCCAAGATATTTGAAAATTATGGGGCTCCATAAAGCCCATCTGTTTTCAATCATACTTAATAGCTTGGTTTGTCAAAATTGATTTACTGCTACTGGCTTTAAAATAACTTCTGAAAACTGATGGTAAGGCAGTATGCCTCTCAGTAAAAGAATTAGAAGAAACTGGATGAGCTGAAGTCTTCCCTTCAGTTACCACAGTTTAATTGTATTAACTCTGCGTTTTCAACGAACTTACAACCAGGTGTTTGTGGAAAGAATTAC